CTAGTCGCAGACATTTACATTTCATTTTCTTGAATTTTTTAAAATACGTATGTTACTCTGAGTGTTGAGTATCAGCAGTGTTATGACATTTTTAGTAGAGTTGTTGTCCTTTCAGGAATGCAAGGAGGATGTTTGGTTGATTGCTATTATTTTTAGCAGTTTTAAAGTGATTTGTTATTGAAAGACCTCCGAGTGTAGTATTTTAAATTATTACCCATTTCATATAAATGTATTTAGCATAAAAGAAAAGTTTTGGTTTGGTTTATTTAATTACTGAGGCCCGGTGGCGCAGTCGCTAGCGCATCGCGCAGCAGCACCACAGGTCCGGGGTTCGAACCCCGGGCTGGGCAAGGCCTACTCAGCCTTTCATTCCTTGATTTCCATCCCTTGGGTCGATAAAATGAGTACCAAGTTCGCTTGGGGACTAAACACTGAGGGTCCTGCGACCAAGCTGACCACTTGTTCAGGGCACATGCTTACGTACCCCGGGGCCCACGGTCAAGAAAGCAGATTTTCGGGGCACTGCAGGCCATTAGGGCTGTTTGCGCCACTGCGGTTTTTAGTTTTATTTGATTACGGCAATTCTCAAGAGTTCTACTTGCCTAAGGAGAGGGATGCCTTCGTCGAGGATTTTCTGAGGAAAACTGGCTCGTATACACGTCATGGAGAAAACCACGAAAGCGGCCATGTAGCCAGCCCGCTCCTCGAGATTCGAACCCTGTAAGGATCCTAAGTTTTACTAACGTTTATTTTATTTTAAAACTGTACTATCACTTCTTATTTTCTTCTTCCGGCCAGAATTAAATGCTTTAACATGTTTATGCAAATTGTCTTGCTAACGCCCAAGTACTTACGTTGTGGCTTTTTGCCAAGCGGGAGAGAGAAGGAGTTTTAGGAAGCAAGCCGCTTGCCACTGCAGTTTTACGAGTTTTCACTCGGTTGCTGGTTGCCTTTAAGGCCAGAGGTTTAGCCCTTTTGATATTTGCAAACGTTTTGTAGTTTCAGCAGCTCGGCGTACTACATACGTACCCTTTTTAAATAAAAGCCAGTCTTAGTGCTAGGCATTTGTATACTAATTTGTATTTGTATTACTATACTTTTAGTTAAAGTTAGTAGTTTTTATATTCTTACGTTCAGACCACAAGTGGTTGGTCTCTGTATTCCGAAGTTCGGAAGTGCCCGTAAAGTATTGAAATAAAGGGTTTCGTATACTCTTCCTGCTTGTGTCGTCTGTTATACACAAATCTTGAAACATACTGTGGGTAAAAAAAAGTAATTGCACAACTACATTTATGTTTGCAATTAATAAAAAAGAAGCATTAAGAAGTAAAAAAAAATGGGTATTGCGAAATCAGAATAAGTTTAATCATCCAAAACAAACAGAAAAATTACAATAATATAAATAACAATGCTTTTTTGTAACAAAATTAAAATATCTCGTATCAAAAAAGTATTTGCACACCTGCATGAATACAAAAGAAATAAAATATATAAGCAAATTTCAAATAACTAATATTTAGTATGCATTCCTTTAGCATCTATTACTGCTTGTAATCTTGCTGGCATTGATTTAATTAAATTTTCTGTAACAGTAGGGTCAGTATTCGACCACTGTTCAACAAGGGCTTGTTTAAGGGCAGATTTGCTTGAAATCTTCCTTTTTCTTATTTTTAAATCCAAATAATTCCACAAATTGTCCAAAGAATTTAAGTCTGGTGATTGTGGTGCAGTGGCAAGTTTTCTGGGTACATTATAAAGGAACCACATACCTGTTACACCGGTAATGTGCTTGGGATGATTGTCTTGCTGAAAATAGTACGAATTACTGATACCCAAATTTATTGCACTTTGTGGCAAGTTATCTCGCAACACATCAATATAGGTTCGAGCTGTCATATTCCCATCAATGAAACACAAATTACCAACTCCTTTGCTAGCTATGCACCCCCAAATCATACCAGAATCTCCTCCATGTTTAACTGTAGGTAACACATTTTTGGTATGAAAAGCAGTACAAGGTATTCTCCAAACTAATTTCCTGCCATCTGATTTAAAGATATTGAACTTACTCTCGTCGGAGAATATGACATTTTTCCAGAAATCAATTGGCTTATTGATATATTCCTTAGCGAATTCACGTCTCTTCAGTCTATTTCGTTCAGTTATGAGAGGTGTTTTCCTTGGAGATCTCCCATAAATGTGTGCATCGGGCAGGACATTTCGAACATTTTGGGCACAGATTTGAACTCCAGATGGTGAAGCGACATCATTGGCTAAAGTAATTGCACTAACAAATGGATTTTTCGATGCTTCTCTTATAATTTTTCACTTCATTCGCAGTGAAAGTTTCTTTGGGCGTCCAGAGCGCAAGTTATTTGATGTGTAGATCCTCTTTCTTTATGACGTCTTATAACATACCGAACAGTAGAGAAGCAAACATTTACTTTTTTACCTATTTCTGGATAACTTGGCCATTTTCACGTAGAGAAAAATTTTTTTCTCGCAACGAAATCGGCAATTCAGATTTCTTAGGTGCCATTACAATTTAAAATCGACAATCAACTGATAACGTTTTGATAACACCTCCTTTTATAGTCGTCTTACGTATGTTATTTACTGGGGGATGACTTTCAAATAATAGCATAAAAATGCAAATTTGCTAAAGTTGAGTTGAGTGTGCAAATTTTTTTTGACATTAAGCTATTTTAACATTGTTGCAAAAAGTGTTTTTTATTAATATTATTGTATTTTTTGTAATTAATTTAAATGAATAAGCTTATTCTATTTTTTAAATGCCAATTTTTGTATTTCTTAATGCATTTTCTTATAAATTGTGAACAAAAATGTATGTGTGCAAATATTTTTTGTACCCACTGTAGCTTGAGTAAACTCCTTGTTCGTATTCAGGGCATACCATGTTTCCAAAGCAAATCAAGAGAAACACAAGTCCTGACAAACCAACTACCAGTGATAAGCGATTTTGCCGCTCACCCGCTGGTAAGCCGTGCAAAAGAAAAGAAAGAAATTCAGCGTAAGGGGCCCTTTTTGCAACGGTGAAGCTGTGCTATCGGAACTTGTTGGTAATTTTACGAAGGAATTCGAATCTGAATTAAAAATTTAGAGGCATGCAGAAATAGAATGTCTTTTATCTGTTTCAGCGAATGTAAATTGAACATTCGAAATCGAATGTATTAACATTAATGAATTTTTTCGTTGATGAGTAACGCAGAAAGAAAGAAGGGTTTCTTTAAATTTCTCTCAATAAAATACTAAATATTTGTTTATTTTGGCTTGTGTTGGGGAATTTGATGTATTTAATGCTTAATTAATTAAAAATTGTTTACACGGATGTTGGCAGCTGATAGGTTTAAAGATACCGATTCGTTTAGATTACGGTAAAGTATACGCGTTTTGTCTGCGTAAGGAAAAACAAATTTAAGGAAAACTGGCTGGAGATTTTACGATACTGAAAGAGTTACTTGTTGAATGTTTGGTGTGGATTGGTTGGGGTAATTTGATTACGGCAAATCACACGAGTATCTGCCTAAGGGAAGGTATGCCTTCGTGGAGGACTTTCTGATGTAATCTGGCTCTTATGTACGTTACTCACGCGGAAAACCTCGAAAACGCCCGTGCACCCAACCCATTAGCTGGGATTCGAGGCCCTGGTGGCCGCTGGTGGGTCTGAAATGAGGTAGCACTATTTTGATTACGGGAATGCATATGATGTCTAAATGCCTGAGGGAAAGGGTGCCTCCATGGAGCACTTTTTTAAGGGAAACTGGGCACGTATTCACATTACACAGAGGGAAAATAACGAAAATTCATGCAAGCTACTTTTGAGCGGAATGTGAACACGGGTCGAACTACCAGCGATTTTGCCGCTAAGCCGCTAAAAGGGGAATATGAAATAATAGCACTTCTTTGAAACAGTAGAGTGAACTTTCAAAGTTTGGAAATATATGAGCTTCTGCGATAAGACTGCATCTTCAGGTAACTGGTCTCAAGGACGAAATTTATCTCAGATAATTTGCTCTATCCTAACCCTTGATATATATTATGTGCCATGTAAATTTCTTCGGCGCGTTTCAGTGCTTGCGTGGCCCACTAATGGCAGAGCAGTAAGAACTGCTGAATGCTGGTAGTTCGACACGAGTTCCATTCCTGGTGAACTGGGTGGCCGCATGAGAGGTTCTGCGGATCGTCTCTAACGTGAATAGGATTCAGTTGTTGCGTGCATTTTTTCCCTCTATTAGTTCAAAAAAGTAAAAAGGCAGTTTTTCTTTTAATGAAAAGAATATATTATTAATCAAAATTTCATTTATTTTACGCTGATTATTAATACAGATGTATTTCATTAAAAGGAATTTTTTTCACTGTTAATCTTATATATTCCAGCTTTCTCTGAATGGGTTTTAAATTCAAAGTAACTTACTTTCATTATAGTTTTAAACAACGTGAAAAGTCTTTTTTTTTTTTTTTTTTGTGGTTTGGTTTATGTGGTTATGGAAAAGCCTCGAGGGCTATCTACCTAAGGGAAAGGATGCCTTCATGGGGAACTTTCTAAGGAAAATTGGCTCGTATACACATTACACGTGGGGGAAAACCACGAAAAAGCCCATGAAGCCAGCCCGTTCGCGGAATTCGAACCTCGAACCGAACTACGAGTGTTCTGCGACTTTATCGCTTTGCCGTTTGTTTTTTGTACTGATAAATCAAAAGAAAACTAACGCCACACGTTAATTTTTTAAAATTTGAAACTGTCAGTGAGTTCTCTGTATTAACTGTGTATGCTTAAAATTGTTGTAGCCAAGAAATTATGCTGTGAGTTTGGTATTGTAACAGCAGTGAAAATTTATGAAATTTCATAAATCTATTTTAGGAAGTATACCTGTTTTATTAACTGCTACTTAGACTTATTTTCTAAAATTAAGTGAAATTAATTTTTGTTTTAATTATATAGTGTATGTTTAAACGTTTTCTTTTATTTTTTGTTCTAGAAATAGAAAGATGTCGAGGAGGACAACCTACGATGGACTTGAACCATGAAAAATGTCAGGTGAGACATACAAATATTTATCTGCAGTAAATGTATGTGCTGTTTCTCTTTTTTAGAAAAAAGGGTGAGTTTTTTTTTTTTTTTTTTTTTTTTTTTTTTTTTTTTTTTTTTTTTTTTTTTTTTTTTTTTTTTTTTTTTTTTTTTTTTTGTATGTGAGTTAGAAAGGTCAATGTAAACAGCTACTTGATATTGTTGGAATGGATTTCCGAAAAGGTTCGTGTGTTTTCATTTTCCCTTCAGACCAATCATTTTCTTTCCTTTTAGGCTTAACAAGGGTTTGCTGTTTTTCGTAAAGATAAAAAAGTGTAAATAATTGTTAGAAAGTTATTAGTGTTGCATGAAGAAAGTTTTCAGTTTTTCAGGCGAAGTAGTTATACTGACCAAATTGTTAGCTATGTTTGTCTGTTTTAGATAACTGATTTCGTTGTCTCTCATTTCTGGTAAATAATCGCTACATATTTTGGCAAATTTTGTTAAAATTTAAATTATTGCTTCCTAAGGCAGCTTTTATTTCGAAGTTTTTCAAAATATTGTAGTTGTAAGCCTGTAAATCGAAAAAGGGAAACCTGTAATGCCTAGTATTTAATCTAAACACCTTTATTCATGTTACTGTCCATGAGCAGATACTCGCTATAGATATTTCAAAACGTACTGTTTTCCCCCGGGAACAGTGTATTTATTGTTATTGAACACTTATACCTGTATTATTGTTCACTTATGCGTAGATTGTACTATTTCGCAGAACAATAGTTTGATAGATTGTATGAAATCCATGAGAGTACTATGGCTCTTCAGAACAAACTGATGAGTTTAACAGCAATAAACGAAAATATTTCGACCTCGCTACTACTGACAGCAAATGGCGCTTTCACACTGCGATTTGGCCGAAGCCGCTCATTAATATGCCTTGGACCTTTTGTTTATTCACACATGTTCATACTAGATGAGAATTAACCGAAAGAAAAGTATTAATATATACACTTTGATAGAACGTATGTATCAGAACGAATAGATCACTTCATATCTTGTGAATAATAGTAACGTGTAAGAACAATTTGACATTTAAACATTCGTAAAAACCGTGATAGCAATGGCATTGACGATGATTTATATGATATAGATGTGATAAACAGATACCTGTATTTCACATTCACGGTTCATCTGTTCCGTTTCTGCATGCTAATTGCTCCATGTCTATGATTTTCGTTTTAAATCGTTGCATGTTTTAAGGTAAAACCCGAAGCATGATTTGAAATGTGATAGTATGAGTGTTATTGACCGTCGAAGTGAGTGCAGATAATTCCATATAATTTCAAGGAATAGTATATCTACCATGTACCGTATCACTCTGGAATGAGGGTCTATTTATATGTTAATCAAGTATTAGTCATTGCATTATTGAAAATCAGGCAAAGGCAGCTGACGCTCACATTGTTTACCTCTGCTGACTACACGAGATTCCAGTTTGCAAAACCCTCTCTCAACTGGATTATGGAGGTTAGGAAGCTTGCTATCTGGTAGAATGTATTACAATTCCAAGCACATATCGCTGAGATTGACGAGTGCGAGTGTAACTTAGATAATAAGAAGCAATGAATCCATCCGACTATGTGGATTAACATAGGCAAGTGAACATTGCGTAACAATTTGGTAGGTATTTCTATGGCGTTGCGTAACAATTTGGTAGGTATTTCTATGGCGTTGCGTAACAAATTGGTAGGTATTTATATGGCGTTACTAGTGATCTCTCGCAGTCATACAGACTTCTCTTCGCAGACTTTAGCTATGGAAGCATTCTTGCCGTTGGTATGCGTTCTTTTGTAAAGATTGTTTCCTTTAAATTGCGGTGAATCATTTCCAAATGTAGCCAGCCATTTTCAGGAACAGAGAACTGAGTTTACAGTGCTGGGATATCACCTTTGCGTAAGCTAAATGAGAATTTATTAAAAGTATTTGGAAAATCAGTTAGAAATTTTAAGACTAGGGTTTTCGGATTATTGAATGAAAGTTCCGCCATCTCATTTCCATCACCTAATTGTGTGATTGCGGTATTTAAATCAAAAGTCGGATCACCACATTTTTAATTAAACACGTATGATATTTTGTTCTTTCGGTGTTAGCGCAGACCTCGCATAGCAGTCACATAGTTATGTTCCCATTTAGAACATAATCATAATAAAGCAGATATATGAAGCGATCATACGGACAGAGGGCGGACATCTGCATTGTATCGCGTCTAATAAATATAAGAAACTAAATGAAAACATTAACACATCGCGAAAACGTTTTTAACATTTAAAATAAAAATTCTAAAGACTTCTGCTATAATTTTATTTGAAATGGATGAATGTTTTCGCATTCATCAAGCTGTTATAATTTTTATTATTCAATGAACGTAGATTTCTTATAACATGACGCTTAAACCTATGCTTTTTTGTTCTTTTAGCCGTGAAAAATGCCGTTGTTTTATGAAAAAAAATATGTTCACGAGAAATTTGTATAATATTTTGTGAATAAAATGCTAAGTTATTAATCTGTTAATACTGACATTTCCATTAGCTCGTTCCCTTCCCTTGAAGTTTGTCATTGTTGAATAATTGCTGGAGTGAGGCAAATTGTGAACAAGCATATTATTCATGAAATATTGCAGAAATTCGCCTGTAATCATGTATGAGTAAAAAGCAGTCAGTTTATGTTCGATGACACACAACTACCGGCTACATAATGCGTCAATGCATTTTTGGATATCTGTTTTTGGTAATTAGATGTTGCTTTATAATAAGCCATATTATTCGGTTTCGCTTTGTAAGAGTTAAATTTTTTTAAATATTCTGCGGAGCTGAAATCATCTTTGTTATCCGATATGTACCCTTTATTAAAAATAGACTTAACATGCGTATTATGGGACCATTAATTCGGAAATAAAAGGACTGCGTAAGGAGTTTACTTGTGTACTGAAAAAGTAAAGCTTTACACTAGGGCTTTTAGATGGTGAAAAGCGGGATATACATTTAGAGTTGGTAGCTTTATTATTTGATTATGGATTCTATATTATCAATCGTGTCGTACTGGTAAAATACCTAAACACTGGAATTGCCACCGTCGAATATGAACAGGTTTTGATCATATTTGAAAAAACATCCATTTACTTCTTTTAAAAATATATCTGATATAGTTGTCTATGGCCTGCCAATGGCCGCCGCAATATGAAAACGAGTTTATTAACCCTTTGACTGCTAACTGCATTATGTTGAAGTGCTTCGCGTGAGCGGCCGCAGAATGACTGACCAAATAAACAGGATTTCATTCTTTCTAGTTGCTAAGCAATGAAAGAGGTATAAGGTTTCTGCGAGTGCTGCACATATACGATAGAAATAACATGAGACAGCAGTAAGCAGCCTTCACCGAGCGCGTATTTGTTGCGTCCATTGGCTACACCGCCGGACGCACATATGCGCCCATAGGCCACACCGGTGGTTTTTTGCGGGACGCATATATGCTTCCATAGCAGTCAAAGGGTTAAATATTTCTCACATTCATTCTGTATTGTCGCGGGGGTTCGACAATAAAATGCGTCGCCGCGTATGTATACTGCATCTTGTGTTTTCGTATTCTTCGTAATTTCAGTCATTATAATAATTTTTAAAAAGGAAATAAATGAAAGTAATCGCTTGTTATATTTATCTTATAAACGGACGGAAGACGTATTAAATAAATTTTGATATGGGATATGGATATTGGTAATAGATATTTGATATTGTTCCTGAACAAAAGCTTTCCTTTTATTCGTAGTCGGCAATTTTTTAATCAAAAAATGTCAGTTTTTAATCAGTGCCATCATTTGATTGTGGGATGGTTGTACCTTTGCTTTTTTCAGAAATTTTAAGCATTTGGGTTTGAATTATATTGTGGAAAGGAATAGAAAGAAGAGTAAAGTAGTTTGAAATTCATTTTAAGGCAGTAGGTACCAGTTTATTTGTTCTTCTGAAATGATAATAGCTAGAAACTGTGAGCCCCTTCAGGTCAAGACCTCGAATTTTCTGCACTGTCATAATTTATGAAAATGAGTGTCTTTCTGGAAGATTTTCCCTTCTTTTTTAATTCCTTTTCTTTTATGAAAAGGAAAACTCATTCGGATAAAACGAAATCAGATGTACTTGCTTAACATGAAACAAATCGATGCGTATGAAAAATCTATTGTTTGATTTTTTTGGGGGGGGTTATGTTTGGGATTTGAGAAAAATTGACGATTTGCCGTAAACCTGGAAACGATCTTAACTTTAATAAAAGAAAAGCTGGATATGACATTTTATTGCAGGACAATCTAACAAACCATCCAGAAAATCAATAATCGGTGTAGGTTTTGCTTGAGTTATTTTTGGACTTCTTTCTCATTATTTTTGTTAACTTACTCATATTTCCTATTTTCTTTAGTCATTAAATAAAATATCGTAACGTAAGCTCAATACCCTCTTTGACCTTTTACTGTATACTCTACAAAATTTTACTTTCCTGGTAGAGGGGGATAATACTCAAATGCATTCCCCGCTTCATCTTGTATCTATCGTATCAACTCTTCAACATTTAACGAGCTATTTGAAACTTGCAGTTGCTATTTTTTTGCCGTTTTACTATTTTGTAAATTAAAATGCTGATTTTGCAAGATCTATTTAATCACTTCTTAGCAGCTTTAAGTTTTAACTAAGTTGTTTAGTATTGCAAAGTAGTTTTACACAGTTGATTTTTTTTCCACTCTTGTTCTAAGGAAGTAATATATTGGAAATCATAAATCAAATACTTGTTTAAAAGCTTTTGTAATAAAAGTCTTGGTTTTTAATTTCAAAAGAGGATAAAATTCTTTTAACTGAATTACGTTTGAAGCTTAAAATTTTGTGATATATTTTAAATCTAGCCTGTCAAATATAATTTTTTTATAAAATTTTAAAAATCGTATTCTAAAATGTTAAAATGGAATTTTAATATGCATTTTATATTGCTCA